AACTATAATCACAAAATTTTAATACTCAAGTGCAAACTGTGTTCAAGTTTCAAAATTCTAAAATTCTGTAAATGATATTGTTATACAAATAAATAATGAAGAAAAATAAATTAGAGTTTCAAATGAATAAAAACATACAAGGAAATCTGGTGATGCAGTTACAAGATCAGAGTATAGTGAGTTCAGAATTATGACTGGAGCCAATTCTTTTACCTGAATGTCCATATACTACTCAAACAACAATAATCAAATCCTGAGAATTAATGTAATGATGTGTAAGACACTGATTGACTGAAGTGGTAACTCAGCTGAACTCATATACTGAGATGTTCCAACAAAAAAGTTACAAAATGTTTTTGAAAATTCTTATTTAATACTATCAGCAGGAAGTGCCTTTTAAATGTGTGTATGTGTTCATATATGTAAAACATACACATACATAATTTATATATACATGGACTCCAATGACAAAATAAATGGCACACTAGTAGTTTAAAACTGGTAGTTTGTAGCATAACATATTCATAAAATAAAATTTGTTACCACCATAATTTTTTTAAAACTCCGATATTTGAAAACTGATAATTTTTATAATGCATAAGTAGAACTTAAACTATAAAACATGTTTATGTTAATTATTTTTTTCATTTAAGGTTATAAAACTGAAGTAAATCATATGCTCAAATAAAAATTCTCCATAAATGCTTCAGAGATCCTTCAAGTATGAGAAAAATGGTTTTATATCAACTATTAGGTAAGGTAGGAAGATATTAGAGAGCTAATCATCTATTTTTCTTAGCAGTGGTTTCAATTTCAAATCATTATCTTTTTTTCATTGGCATATCTTGAAAAACTGGTTTGACTAGTAAAGTAATCTTTTCTTTGTGGTGGGAAGTTCTTCCTAATAACTTCAAATGAAAGAATTTCAGTAACAGACATAAGTCAAATGTAAGAGAGAGTCAAGGCAATTATTCAGAGGACCAGACAAAGAAACCCTGCTACTCAGGAAATGAATGAAGGTGTCAGGTCTGTGTTACTTCTAAGTACTCATACTTAACTAGTTTGACATCAACTAAACTAACTGACCATACATTGCAATTATTATAGGATTTATGGAATGGGCAGATTTCAGTCAGGAATTTTGTCCACCGTATAGGCTACTTCTACACAGTCAGTTGCATCAGGAATGCTCTATATAGGTGATGATAACTTGGCTATTAAACAGGTAGAAGAACTAAATTTATATGGCACAATTTGCCCAACATTGGGGGAAAAATGGCTTGAGTGTTGACTAATGAGTTGTTAAAGATTGTGCTCATAGACACAGACAACACTACAGTGATTCTCAGAAAGAAGAGGGGGATGGGGGGAAGGAAAAGGGTAAAGGGAGATAAGTGGTGATGGAAGAAGACTTGACTTGGGGTAATAAACACACAATACAATATATAGATTGTATTATAGAATTGTACACTTGAAACCTATATAATTTTATTAACCTGTGTCTCCCCAATAAATTTAATAAGGAGACCTTAGTTCACTGTTGGTGGGATTGCAGACTGGTACAACCATTATGGAAAACAGTATGGAATTTTCTCAGAAAAATAAAAATCGACCTGCCTTTTGATCCAGCAATTCCACTGCTAGGATTATATCCTAAGAACCCCAAAACATCAATTTCAAAGAACCTATGCACCACAATGTTCATAGCAGCACAATTTACAATAGCTAAGAGCTGGAAGCAACCTAGGTGCCCGTCAGTAAATGAATGGATCAAAAAATTGTGGTACATATACACAATGGAATTCTATGCAGCAGAGAAAAAGAAGGAGCTCCTACCCTTGCAACATGGATGGAACTGGAAAGCATTATGCTGAGTGAAATAAGCCAGGGGTTGAAAGACAAATATCATATGATCTCACCTTTAACAGGAAGCTAAACAAAACAGATAAGCAAGCAAAATACAAACAAAGACATTGAAATAGAGAACAGGGGGACAGCGACCAGAGGGAAGAGGGGAGGGAATTTAAGGGGAAAAAATGGGAGGGATTTAGAGGAACAAGTATAAAGGACAGAGGGACAATAACTAAGGGGGGTGGAAATGGGAGGGAGGTGGGGTGCATGGGGGGGTGGGCTGGGATAGAAGAAATAAACAGAAAACTGTACTTGAAAAATAACTAAATAAAAAAAGAATTTTTTAAAAAGAAAAGATTGTTTTTATATAAACTCTTTATGATTCTATAGTGAATGAAACCGATATATAAAAATAAGTAAATTCACTTTAATGACAAGGCACCTACCAAAACGTCTTGAGTTTTAGCAGTCTAAACAATCAAAGAGCTACAAATATTCTAACACTTGGCAAGAGGGGGATGGTAGGAAATCTTAAATAGGTTTCATGGCACTTGAACTTTGTTAACTTGACTATCGTAATAGTTGTGAATTTGTAAACAGAATCATCACCTCACTGAATGAAGCAGATGATGATCTGCAGCCCGACTGAGAGGGGAATCTAAACCATCAAAGATAAATTTTAGTAAGAAATACAAAGTAACAATTGTGCTGGCCAAGTGGCTCAGTTGGTTGGAGCATTGTCCAGTGCACCAAAGGGTTGCGGGTTCAATCCCAAGAAAGGACACACACACACACACACACACACACACACACGAAGTAACAATAGCAGATGTATATTTAGAAAATACAAATCTATCATATGGCACTATCAGATGTGCTTTGATGAGGATACCTATGACTGTTCCAGGCAACGTTATTTTTTATTTAAATCTTACACGACTTTTACTAAAAAGAAAACTTTCTTGTAGAAAAGAAAAAAAAACATTCTTAACAAAATCTTAAATATGAATGCATTTTAAAAAGTATAAATTAACATGTACAATTGATACTATGAATTGATTTTTTTAGTAGTTTCCCACTATTCCCAGTTGTTATAATTCAGTTATTTTAAGTGTTACTTTTATTTACTAATTAATATAATAGAAATCATACTGCAAATTTGTGAAATGGGTGACTTTAGGAGTCATGCTACTTTTTCATACTGAATACAGAAAAATTATCAAACTACAAAATTTACCCTGTTAATGGTTGCTCCTGTATTTGCATGACCTGGAATAATGGATTTAGTTCACTGACAGCACTAATAAATCTACTAAACACATATCCAGTTGATACGGATGTTTAACAAGTAGCCAGAAACCAGTGTGAAGGTAAATAGAAAACCCTAGAGAAAATAAAGTAGGGGGATGGGGGCCAAAGAGATGGTTGTGCTATCATGAGAAAGGCTGGGTGCAATGAAAATGGGAAAATACTATTTCTCCCCATTTTTCAGTTTTCCTAAGGGCTTGATAAGTGGCAAGTACTTCCCTTTCCGCGGACAATGACATTCTGGATGGCTCTTCTCAGGAGCACTATAAAGTACTGACACCTATTTTACTGCTTTTTATTTTATGGTAAACATACAGTTATTTTTGCATCTACAACACTTTACAATTCTTTTGTAAATATTATGATTTTAAAGCTGGGAGGAAATTAGAAAACCAACCACTTTAACTAACCACTAATTTTGTTGATGGGGGACCTGAGGTCAAGAGAGGCTATGATTTAGTTTCTAATTTACATAAATATATTGTGACTAAAAGGTTTAGACATACTGTACCTATTGTTATGAAAAGCAAGAAACAAACATACATAAGAATTGCTTTAAAAATTTGAAGAAAAGGTTACAAAAACTCTCCACTGAGACCTGCTATAAAGACCTGTTCTGGTGTTGTTAAGAAATACTGCACAGAACAGTTGAAGGGATTCCAAGACTGGAAGAGGGAAAAGGCACTAAATGCTGACAGTGTAAATAAGTAATCGTTATAAACAGAAAAGCGTATACAAAGTACTTAGCATGTACATGTTATATCTCAAAAATCCATTAAAATTAAAAATGTAAAGCTTCTCATATTATTTTCTAACAAATTGATTTCTACCTCTATATTATAAGGACAAAGTATATAATACGATGATAAAAAGGGGGTGCTTGTGCTTATTTCAAATCCCCAGGCTCCTTTTACACAGCACATCTGGAAAATCAATCCCACTGCTGCTTTAGAAGGGTAGTTCTAAGTGACTGTGATCTTTTATATGCTCAGCTGAGGTGAATGAAAACAGAGAGCTCAGGTTGCAGAGTTTGATGATACTGAATTCTACACAGCTTTCTATGACTCTTTATTTCTGTGGCATCATTTCAATACATTGAAATAACTTGTTTCAAAATAAATGTATTTATTAAATTTTAAAAACTTGAAAAGTCAAATATGTTTGTTCCTAAGATACCGTTTGGTCATTGCAATGATCAGAGTCAATATAGATGTTTTTCCACTGAAATCACCTAGATCATTGCTTCCCAAAGTATCTCCCTGCCAGAAAGCAAAATGGCTTTACATATGGCACATGGGTAAACATTTTAAATTTACTTTTAAAGAATGGCTTTTAATATACATTAGAAAAACATATGTTGTTTTCTACTTTAAAAGTAAGTATTTAAAATATACATTCAGTAAATAATAGTATCGGTGTCATGTGAATATGACCAAATTTAAAGTCTAAAACCCAGCAGAGATATCCAACCTTTTGGCACCTCTAGCCACACCAGAAGAAGAGTTGTCTTGGGCCACCCATAAATTACATTGCAACACATAATCACACACACCAAAAAAAAATCTTACAGTGTTTTAAGTAAATTTACAATTTTGTGTTGGGAAGCATTCATAGCTATCCCGGGCCATATGTGGCCAGTGGGCCACAGGTTGGACACCCCTGGAAGGTGTGGGAAATGCTGTGCTACATAAAGTAACTGCTCTGGCAATAAGCTAGCATAAATATTACTGGTGATCAACACTTTCTTGCCTGAGCCCAGGCTGTGTTTTTTCTTCCTATATTGGGAAATGTACAGTCACAGCTACCAAGAAGCTAAATTTGACAAAAACTCAAATACTTACTGTCGCTGGGGAGGCCCGAGTGGTGTGTGTCACTGAGTGACCAGAATTCTCCATTGAATTGCCAATCAGATAGGTTCCTCCAGAGCTGCTGATGAGTTGTCCTCCCGTGACGCCCATCTGAATCCCTCCAGTGCCCACCATACTGTGGGATGAGACCACAGTCGTCACCTGTGCCGAACTCCCTTGAGTATCAAAGTAATTCCCTCCAGTGTTTTGGCTGTACATCTGTGTTTCTGTGTAAGGATAAGTTGTTGTTCGGCTTTAGAAGAAGAAGAAAAAAGAAATTTACTAGCTTATTTATACTACCTTACTAAATTTTTTCTAGTGTGTATATATATCTAAAATATATCAGTTAGTTTAGCCTCTGAAACATGGTTAAGTTTTGTAGTTTGTATGAAACTTCATTTCCAGAAGTACTTATGTTTACTTTCCAATGTGAAAAGACATTCCTTTATTAAGTAAGTACCTCAACACTTCTCTGTACTTGAGAGCGCTTGCCCTCTACTGTTGTCTACCTCCAGCATATAAATAAGTTCAGGTCTCTTGCCTCCAAAAAGTCTTGTTGAGTGACTTCTTCAACTCCTTACAAAACTCCTTCAAACCCCAGTTTTAGAAAAGCTGGGTTCTGGCACATGCAGGGGTTAATAAGTCAACTCCCCACGCTACTTCACCTTTCCAGATGACTTGCAATAAAACTCTGTGGTTAAGGAAGCTTGCATAGATGTCTCTCTTGCCACCACAAGGATCTTGAGCAGTTTAGTCACCTTTTACCCTAAATCCCTATCTGTATCTCTCTCTTCCTCTACACTCAAGATTCTCCTGGAGGGATGACTATGAGAGCTCTCCATGCGCTCCCTTTCCACTTCCCAACAACTGCAGTAAACCTTCTGCCCCCAGCCTTTCACTGAAACTGCTTTTAATAAGGTCACCGTGGCTAAGTCTAAATACCAAGATATAAGACTTGTCAGTCCTCATCTTTTTTGACCTATTTGCAATATACTGTTGTTGACCGCTCCATGTTGCCCTTTCCCTCCTTCTATTCTGATTAAGCATGTCTAAATTATTTATTTTTCATTTTCAACTGATTTAACATATTTTAACATGACCTCTGTTTTTACTTTTTAAAATCTGCTTTATTTTTTAAAGATTTTATTTATTTCGCTTTAGAGAGGGGAAAGGAGGGAGAAAGAGAGGGAGAGAAACATCAGTGTGTGGTTGCCTCTTGCACACCCCCTACTGGGAACCTGGCCCACAACTCAGGCATGTGCCCTGACTGGGAATCGAACTGCAAACCCTTTCATTCCCAGGCCAGCACTCAATCTACTGAGCCATACTGGCCAGGGCTGTTTTCACTTTTTAATTTAAGATAATTATATGCTCATAAGAAGTTGCAAAAATAATACTGAACAGTATAAAATACTTTTATGGATGGACCTGGAGATTATTATGCTAAATGAAATAAGCCAGTCAGAGAAAGACAAATACCATATGATTTCACTTATATGTGGAATCTAATGAACAAAATAAACTGACAAAATGGAAACAGAGGCATGGACACATGGAACTGACTGACAGCTGTCACAGGGGAAGAAGGTTAGGGCACTGGATGAAAGAAGGTGAAGTGATTAAGCAAAGAAACATATATGTATACATAACATAGACACAGATAACAGTATGGTGACAGCCAGAGGGAAAGGGAGTGGGTGGTTGGTGGAGGTGAACAAAGCGGGGAAATGGGATGGAAAGAGACTTTGCTTAGGGCAATGGGTGTGTGATGCAGATTATGTTTTATTAACTTGTATACTTGAAACCTTTATGATTTTGCAAACAAAATCCACCCCAATAAATTCAGTAAATATTTAAATATTAAGTTAAAACTCCCAGGTTTTTTTGTCATTTTCTTCAACTCACATCTCAGAGCTAGCCACTACTGACAATTTAATGTGTATGTTTTCAAGCATTTTTTACATATACACAAGGTCTCATTCTTAACCTCTCTGGTTCCTTAGTTTCTATGGCATTTCTTTTCCACTTTTTATTTTTTCTATCACTGCCTTTCAAGAACATTTCAAAGCTCCATTTTCCTGGCACTTTAAACACTGATATTTTTCTGAGGTCTCTGTGTTTAGATTTTTTTCTCATATTATTCAGACCACGTGCCTTCACCATATACTATATGATCATATAGATGCTCATAGTGAACTTTGCATAAGTGGACATCTCCACTCTTTACTTTCTAGCTATACTTTAAGAATTTTAAATCTGGATTTCTAACAGCCACCTGGTTATCTCTATGAGGAAATCCTATGAGGAAGTCCCATATATAAAACTTAACAAGCAGTTCCTTACCTCTCTTGTTCTTTTTTCTTGTAATATCCTTCTGAACAGAGAGGAGCACCACCATCCTCAGCTTCAGAATCATTCCTTTTTCCTCACTCAGAATGACATCAGTCACTAAGTCCTACTAATTTTACCTTCTAAATAATTTTCCGGTTCTCCTTTCCATTCTCATACTCAATGCATTAACTAATAATATTGTGAATTATAATTGCTTTCTAATTGATTTCCCTTCCTCTAATTGGCTCTCTTCCAATCTACAACTGTTCTGCCAGGGGGAATTTTTCTAAAGTGCAAATATGAACATAAAACTTGTCTTAAAACCATTTCCATGATTCTCTCTTGCCTGCAGGAGAAATTCAAAACCGCTGGCTGACCTTATAGGAGCCAGCAGGGCTGGTGCCTAGGTAATCTTCCATCTCGGTACTAGCAGTGTCCTCAAGTGCTTTTTTTTACTCACACCATACTGACCTTCATGCTGGTCCCTCAAAATGCCATTTTCTCTTGCCTTCCTGCTGTGTAGCACATGGTTTCTTTTGCCTGGAAGGCCTCTACATCTTTCTTTTACTCCTTTCCTTTGTTCTCATCATTTATAGACCCTCAGCTCAAGCATCACCTTATCTCCAAATTATTCTTCTGCAGCCCCTCACCCTCTGTGCTCACTTTTCTCAGGGCTGTTTTGCTTTGTTCTCTGTATTTTCCTAATGCATACCCTATGCAGACCTCTAACTCTCAACATACTTATTGTTAAATTCCTCGTGTCTTCATACTGCCATGAAATTATGTTTTATTCCCACCTGTACCTCCAATACTTAACACAGTTGCTGGTACACTGTAGGTACACTAATCAACAGATAAAAATATAATCTGATATAATAGGGGGTTTCATTAATTTATAAAACATAAGTTTTTTATTTTGTTAAAACATGAGAAGTTATGCTAAACTATTCAAAGATTTGTATCATTTAAAACAGGTCGTTTGAACCCATTATAAATTACACTTGTTAAATTTATAATGTAAATTTTAGTACAATAATAGTGCTTTGAAAGTATTCCACACTGTAATGCATTCCAGAAAGAGCCACTGCAGCAGAACTACATGCAAATTTTAGCTGAGGTGATGACAGAAACAACCCAAGAACATCTTTTAAAGAGAGAAAAAAATGCCATTTTCTATACATATACAGTTTTTCTCTCATCATTGCTCTATTTTCTACTTGGAAGTCTCACCCACATATCTCTTTCATTATATTTTGATAAAATAAGAGTCATAATGATTTCAAATTTAGGCAAAAAGAAAAGAAAAAAAGAGGTCATTTTAATTTACATACACTGAATATGACAGTGATCCTATTTGACTGTACTTAAAATAACACAATCTGATGTTGATATTTAAGTATAGCCAAATAAGGTATACAAATAGATATAGGACAATAAATACTTTGACAGATGTAAGACATGGTGCCAGCTTTCATTTTCATAGACTTAGCAAAATGCTTAAGCATGCTCCCTAGCACTAAGTTGATTTCACAAACAAAACATATAACAATAACAAATGATAATTAATGTACTGACCATTTACTATCCAATAGGCACTCTTCTATGTGCTCAGGTATTAACTCTTTTAATCTTCATGTCAACTCTATGAGATAGGTACTATTATAATTCCTATTTCACAGACAAGGTGAAAAGGTTGAGCAGCTTTGCCCAAAGCAAAAAGCTGGTAAAAAATGGATGTGGAACCTGCAGTGAGCCCATGCTTTCAACCATTTCATCACATAAAAAGAACTTAACTTTTTATAGTATATGTCAAACATATTTGTGAATGACTATTGGGGAACAGCCGTAACAGGTGGTACAAGAGGCCATATGAACTTCCTGTTACTACTTCAGATCTCCTTACTGTTTATTGGCCCGGCATCACTCTCCTCTGTTACCCAGAATAAGATCTGCAGATGTACCCACAATAGTAAAGAGGTAGAGAAGGTGAAACTACTTTAGAGGATATTTATACTACCACATACCTGGAATTTTTAAGTTCTATGATCATGGAAGTTGCTTCTCTTATCACAAAGGAAACATTTCAAAGAATTTACATCACTCTATCTTTTGGGCATGCCTCCTTTATATAATTAGTTCTCAGTGAACATTAGTAATGCAAACAAATGCATCATAGATATATAAAATCTATGTCTGCAGCCCTCAAAGCAGTATAAAAATAGAGCAGCAAAATGCAACCTGCTTTAATTTTCATACTTCTCTCTCATTGGAGATGATTCAAAAGCTAAAAAAATGAGCAAAGAACAAGACAAGGGTAAAAGTCACTGAAGAGTATGTCTGATCCATCAACTATCCTCATTACTGAGTCATGACCCATGGGACTGAGAAGGCTTGGCTACTGCATAATCATGCCCTGGGGTAAACACTGGCAATTTCTAGGGCGAGGGAAAAAGGACAATTGTATTAGGAAATGAATTTGTCTCTGACAAATAATGTACACTTGCAATGAGAACTAGAGGAGATTTTAAACACTGGATTGGATAATAGAGGCAGATCACACTATCTTTAGTCATTATTCTTTAAAGGTAAGAAGATAAGCATTGACCTATTTGTTGGAGTACTATCTGGAACAAGAGCCAGAATTATGCACAAATAACTCCTAAAGGTCTTTCCATGGTCTAAATACTTTAAAAACCCTTTAATTAATATGGAAGAATTTATGTGAAAAAAAGAAGTACCAACAGCAAAAACAAGCAGTTCTTTCTAAGGTACTAGAAATAATGACTATTTAATTCTGATACCTAAGATTAACTTATCTTTCACATTGCATAATGAATACATATGAGTTATTGCTTGCACATTATTTATCCCAGAAATTACCAAAATACAGGGTGAGGCAAAAGCAGCTTTACAGTGTTCATA